GGAGCGCATGGACGAGCTGCGTCGGCGCCAGCAAATCCAGCTGGGGCACCAGCCACGCTACGTCGAGCCGCGCCCCGTCGTCACCTCGCCCCATCCGCCCTCCATATCCCATCTCATCTCCCACTCCGTCTCCCCCCTCCCCTCCGATCGCCACCAGCTGATTGCCCTCCCCATCAAGCTCCCCACTGACTCCCCGACCATTGCCATCCTGACTCCATCTCAGGAGGATCCGCGCCCAATCAAGAAGCGTCGCTACTCCGAGTCCCCCACTCGGCCCAATCCGGACGATAGGGAGCACATCGCACGGGAAAGGGACAAGATGGTCGTAGGCGAGCTGGGCTATGGCCGTGTCGAGTCCCCCATCGCTGGCCCCTCCCATCCTCCAAGGCGGCCCGGCTCAAGCCACGGCCATGGGCGCAAGGTTGCCGTTTCCGACCTTCTTACTGTCGACAAGGAACGCCCCCCTACCTCCTCCACCCCCGATCGTGATGCTCATCGTGTCCTTAGTCCCTTGGGTGGCAGGAGGTCACCCCCCGGCAGTCAGATAGGCAGAGCCAAGGCAGCACGCAAGTCGGATGAGTACCTCCTACGCGAACCTCCACCCCAACATGCAGAGCCAGAACTCAGGAAGCTCAAAGACGAGCCCAAAATCAAACATGAATTCAAAAGCTCACGATCTCATGAAGCCATTCGCTCTCCTACCGTCGACGAGACACGACCACCCAAGCCAACAACGAAGGAGTTGCTGACTTCGCTAGCAACCGCAACAGCACCCGCTCCCCCAAAGGCACAACCGTCCGCGCGCAAGGGCAACCAGGAGGATGTATACGAGTGGTTTCTACAGCAATACGAAGAAGAGCCGTCTCCCACAATGTCAGTGCGCATCGAGCCGCCGCATACACCCTCGCCCTCCCTCAGTCCACCCACTTCCGCTGCTGTCGCACCTTCTGGCGCCAAGACTCCTCCTGCGCCACACCGATCTCCCTTCGCGGCGGCTGTATCACTTGAGGAGGAGCTGGAGGAACTTGTCTTAAAGCCTCAGACGTCTAGCTCTTCCCTTCCTGTTGATGTCAGAAAGCAAGATCCCGATATTGATATGGAGCTCGATGTTGATCTCGCCGTCAACGAGCTTGTGGAGACATTGGAAGCCGACGACAGTGATGTAAAACGCGAGCCCAAAGCAATGGAAGTGGATGTCGAGGACGAGCTCCTCAGCCTTTTGGACGACACTCCCAGGCCCTCTCTTACTTCCTCCTCATCGTCCGTTGCCCGACGTTACCCGCCTTCCTCCGCGGGGGTTGCTATCTCTTCCTCTTCTCACGCGGCCGCCTCCGCCACGCTAACCCATACCCATTCGCACTCTCACTCTCACGCCGTACACACGAAGCAGCCACAGAATCACAATCGCTCCGCGAGTGAGGCACCTCATGTTTCTCCTGTCATATCAAACGCCGCGGCAGCGGCCCTGTCTCCGGTATCAGCGGTACGTCACTCATCCACGAGGCCGACACCTGAGCGCGGGTCGATGCCCCCGCCTGCGAGCACTGCAGGCGCAGGCAAGAAGGGCTCGGATGCGATAGCTAGTGCGACCGCTACAGCGGTTGCGGCATCCACGACGGTGACCGGCTCCAATCCTACTGCGAAGAAGAAGAAAGAGAGCGCGGCCAAGGTGTGTACTTGCTTCCATGATCGGCCTATGTATGATTACCAGGGGGGCTCACTGTATCTGTATTTCAGGCGAGCGCTGCCAAAGCCAAAAATACCAACAGCGTTGCTGCGCCGACCACGACGTCTGCCACCCCTGCGGCCGCTAAACCCAAAGCAAAGCCGGCTGCAAAGGGCAAAAAAGGCACCGTGACGGATGCCGTCTCTGCGGGCACCCCGGGATCGACATCTGCAGGTCCTGGCACTGGCAAAGGAGTAAAAGGACCTGCAGGCACAACTGCCACTGGACGAAAAACGGCGCCTTCAGTCTCCGCCTCGCGCTCACGCTCTGCGTCTGTCATGCCGGCAGGCAGCGCGTCAGTTGGGCCTGAGAGCGACGCGGTCAAAGCGGAGAAACAGGAGGAAGAAGAGGATTCCGAGGCAGAGGCGGACGAGGACGATAAGCTGTATTGTGTGTGCAAGACCAAGTACGACGAAGATCGGTTCATGATCGCCTGTGATCGGTGCGCGTTTGTTTCTTTGTCGAGGGTTTGGCAGTGGCACTAACGCCTTTCTTTCTTTTTATTTTTATTTATTTTTTATTTTTTGGCTGCGCACTTAAAAGTTGTGATGAGTGGTATCATACGCAATGTGTCAAGATGCCGGATCTTGAGGTAGATCTCGTCGATCAGTTTATCTGCCCCTTGTGCATCGAGAGTGAGTTCCGTTTTACATCTTTCGTTGATCCAACATTTCTAAATATCTACTATGGTCCAGAAAATCCACATCTGAACCTGCGCACAACGTACAAGCCGCGCTGTTTATATGGGCTACGCCATCCAGATCCTTCATCTACCAAGGCGTGTCATAAAGCTGCGCGAGGCGCGTTCTCGAAATATTGTTCGGATGAATGTGGTGTCAAATACATGCAGTCGCGGATCGACACTTATTCTAAGAAGGGTGGCAAGACTGAGAAGCTATGGGACAGCGTCAAGGGTGCAGAAAAGAGGGAGGGCGTAGTTTGTGCCATAGAAGTGGAGAGTGATGAGGAGGAAATGGTTGACGTTGCTGCCGCTAAGCCTGCTGACACCGACTCCAAAAAAGGCGACGTTGACGAATGCGCCGAAGTCAAAATTAATGAGGAGGAAGAGGAAGAAGAGGAACCTAAGACTGTCAAGGTCCTTGACTCGCCCAGAGAGTCCAAGCCGCCTCAACAGTCAACAGCGCCAAAAATGAAAACGAAACATCAGCATGTAAAAACGCACGTCGTGCCACCGACCAAATCTAAAGTAGCGCGAGAGACGGAGCGCCTCAACGGCCTCCTGGATTCGGTGATCAGACTGCGCGAGGAGATCAAGCGCGGAATGGAGATCGTCATCTGGCGCGAACGGCTTCTACAGCTGGCCAGCGAGCGCGCAGATGCGGTTGGGCAGTGTGGGTGGGATCAACGCCTTTGCATGGACGACGAGGAGTGGGCGGACATAGGTGCAGGGGTCCTTGAGAGCTATGAGGACGCTGTTCTTCGAGCGGAGGTTGCGAAAGAGGACAGCGCGGATGGAGGAGATATGGAAGTTGACGGTGCGGAGGAGCAGTGGTGGTGTCCGGGAAAGAAAGTTTGTGATCGTCATCAGGGGTGCGCATATCTTATTGTATGTAGCCTGTTTTCAGTGTTGACTTTTTCCCTCGATGGGTAGATGGCAGACTGTCCGTTTCAAGGATGTGTCTAAGGAGAAGGAGAAGAAGGAAGAGGCGCTGGCGAAACTTACGACCCGAGAGCGCGAGATCCGCAAGCGTATTGAGGACATGCTTGAACCACAAAACACTAACCATCCCGCCACCGCGAATCACACCACCACCGCGATCCACATCAACAGCACGAAAGAGGCCTTACACGCTCCGCTCAAGTCCTCGGCCAAAGCTGTCAATGGACACTCTAAGTCCAAAGCGGCGACAACGGCACCTGGAGAGGCACACAAAAAGGGCAAAAAACGAAAAGCGCCTCCCTCTTAATAGTCTTGATACTCTCTTTTTGATGTTTTATGATGACACCCATGCATGACCATAGCCATGACATTAATGAAGCTGGACGCTATTCGTTCGACCTACATGTATTGTTTCATAGAGCCCTCGTTACACCTCCCTTACAATCACATTTCTATTTAGTATAATTCGTAGCTCCTCTCTTGGTTCTTATCTTTCTTCTTTTCCTAGTATTTCTGTCTCGCATTTGTACTTTTGCTGTCGTCCGTCGCCGCACTTCTCCATCAGCGTGTATTACTCGTGCTTATGTAGCTCATATTGGCAGTTTCCATCCAGTTTTCTTTTGGCAAGTAATAGCTTGCGTGTATAGATAATATTTTACAACTGTGACAATCGTGTCGAAGTTACTGGGAGGTCCAAGATCTAATCTACGCAGTTCAACGTGGTGTAGCCCTTTGGACGTGAGGCAGCGTATTGCCCGACGACCAGATATCGACGATTTTAAAAAAATCCTACAAATCTGGCGATGAGAAGATAAGGTGAAATAAGTGTTACTAGTAGCCGTCGCCTTCGCCGCCTTCTTTGCTGAACCCTTTTTGCTCGTATAGGATTTGGGCCTTGATCTCCTCGCGTTCTTTTTTGGCGTCGGCCTCTTGTTTGTGGTATTCGACGAGAATGTTGTAGTCGACTTGCTTCAGTGGGACATCCTCTTCCTTGTCCAGGTCCTGGATATAAAAAAAAGTGGACATGAGTTAGACGACGGTGGGGCGTGTGTGCATTTCGCGTAAGTATGAGACGCACGATTTCGCCCAGCAGCACCACGTTCTCTCCGCGGATGAGAAAAAGGCCATGCCAGCTCTCCGCGAAAGCATTTCCGTGGTATATCCGCTCGACTGTATCCTCCAGTACGAGATTAGCTAGAGAAATTGAGGCAGACGAGATGGAGGTCATGAGCTACTGGTCTCTACGAACGAGGGTATAGGGTGTGCTCACCAAATTGATCATAAGAACGCAGCACGCCATGTAGTTTGCGGCCGTCACGTAGGATTACTAGCATCTTTCCTGGGCAAAATGCAGCATGCCGGGCGAAGGACAGCGTGGAGCGAATGGAAGGTTGAATTGGGGAAGAAGGGGGTCTGCTCAGGATGGGAATGGAGAAGCGCGATGACTTTGGGCAGACGTACTGTCCACACAATCCACCAGGGAGCCCGAGGTCGTGAAGGGGATTAAAGAGTCCATCGGAGGCACTGGGAAGCTGCTCTAGGCAGCGGAACCGTGAAGGAGAAGGCGAAGTCTACTAATGCAGCCGCGGTCAGACTTTCCCGCCCGCAATCATCGGCCGCATCCAGTATTTTATATTTGATATCATCACCACAGCTGGAATGGCCGAGTCGTTAAGGCGAGTGATTTGAATTCCTCATTATCACTTGGTGTTTCACCGCGTAGGTTCAAATCCTGCTTCCAGCGAATTTTTTCCGTCTTTTTTGTTTTGCAAGTTATGGCTTGTGCAATACTCTTGCACATGTATTCATCTCAAGTGTACTTATCGCATGTCTAATTCAAAGCAACGATTCAAATCATAAATTACAGAGCGCGGTCATGCTGATGTTGTCTGTCCTGGGTACTCCCACTGTCCAGGCTCCGGCTTCTCCTCCAAGAGTTCCCAACTATTGTAAAAGAAATTCATGAGACAGCCATACAGATGTCCACAGCGAGTGTCTACATACGCTTTCCATTCCACCATCTTGGCGGCCAGCCGCAGCTCGTCCGACGCAATGTCCAGCGACTCCTCGATCTGCCCCTCGTTCAGTTTGGCCTCGGCAGCAGCGACATCGCCGTCCGCATTTTTGACGATGTTGAGTTTGTTGCGCACAAGGGCCTCGACGCCCTGGCGGTAGACGGACGTTTGCGGGATGGCAGCGAGGGCGGAGAGGGTTGACTCGTAGGTCTTGACAAGCTCTGGGAGGGGGTTGGGGTGGACGTTCAGACCATAGATTCCAGTTGTCCTTTTGGCGACCTGGAAGAGGGGACGGGTGAGGCGGAACATGGCGGTGGAGGGACGTGTTGAGGTCACTGCCGACCCGACCTGAACTTGTCCGTGTCGGAGTGTCAATTTTAGTTTCTTGCCTCTGTACTTGCAACATGGCCGCGCTCGCCCTCGCGTCCCTCCGCCCTGCGCTCTCGTCCTCCCCATGGCCCCCCGTCGCGTCCCTCGCTCTCCCCGCCCTTTCCTGGTCAATGCCCTCGCTCCAGTCCCTCCTTGACCTCTTTCCGCCCTTCCTCCTAGCCGTCCCCAAGTCAAAAACGTCCCATTCCCGCAAGGCTATGAGGGCTGCGAACAAGGGTCTCAAGGACAAGCAAAGTACGCCCCTCCCCAACCCAACGCATCGCGGCGCGTCCTAACCTTTCCTGTTCCCCAGACATCACAAATTGCCCTGGTTGTGGTGGTGTCAAGCTCGCCCACCACATTTGTCCCAACTGCTATAGCGCCGTCAACCGACAATGGAAGGCCAAGAACCGAGAGGCTGCAAATGACATTCCTGATCTCTCATGACCGCAGCCCGCCGTCCTTGGGTAAGTCCCTGGTACATTGGCGCCTGTTTGTCTGCTCTTATGTTTAAGCGTCGCTGCATAGGCCCCATCGCATGCACAAAACTATCAAGTTAATCCCACGGATTCGCAATGTCTTCCATAAACACCAAGCGCCGCATCCGGTCCCTCACTGCTTGCGGACGTCTTATTATCCTGTTCCTTATAATATTTGCTTCGTTGTAGCTGCAGTATACAAACATTGAAGCGCATGTAATTTATCTGCAGTCTCAAATTGATCTGAATAATTTGCTCACGAGGTCAAGTGGCCGTCGCCGCCGGATCTCCCTCCTTTCCTCTTCTCATCACCCGTGTTCCCTCTCATGGGAATAATCACCCCCATGTATTTATACGAGCAGGGACTACATTCTTCCAACCCTCCTTGCAAACATTACTTATCCAGTCCTTTTCTGACATTGCGTTCGATATGCTTCTCAGTTCAAGGGTGTCTTTGAGAGGAGCTGTTTTCCCCGCATTGGCACGGGCAGCCAGCACTGCGACGACGCGCCCCCAGGGTCTTGCGGCAATTCTAGAGAAGAAACCAGACGATGTCGTTATAACGTTCGCTAGGCGCACCGCAGTGGGGCGAGCGAAGAAGGGCCAGCTGAAGGATATTCCTGTAGATGAGATGCTGCATGCGTTGTTCAAGGTCCTTCCCTTGCCTGCTCACGTACTTTACAATCTATTCATGTCATTATATAGGCTACTTTGGAGAAAACAAAGCTAGACCCTTCCAAAATCGACGATATCTGTGTCGGTGTGTGTCCATCTTCGATTGTTCGACGCACTGCGACTAACCGAACATCGTTCATCAGCAACCTGCCATCCACCTTCGCCATTGTACATATCAAGAGCAGCCGCTATTGCTGCTGGTATCCCGGCAGAGGTCCCTATATCTACTGTGAACCGACTATGCTCGTCGGGGTTAATGGCTATTCGCAATATTGCTCATGCAATTCAAGTTGGAGAAGCCGAGCTGGGGATTGCTGCTGGTGCGGAAAGTATGAGCTTGAAGTGAGTTATATATAACGATATCCTCCCAGCGGCTGATGGTATTCTAGTCCTCGACCCTCTCCTGAGGTCGTAGAACAGGTGTCTGAGCACCCTCAATCCTATGATTGCATGCAGGTGAATGTGATTTGGTATCTCGTGTAGTCATTATGCTTATGATAATGGTTTAGCCTATGGGTTGGACATCCGAAATGGTTGCACAGACATACAAGGTATCCCGCCAGAAACAGGACGAGTACGCGTTCATCTCTCACAGCAGAGCAAACAAAGTAAATTTATTCCCGTTTGTCAAACGGAAAGGCCATAATGACGACAATGCAACCCTTTTTGTAATAGGCCGTCTCCGAAGGAATATTCGCGGACGAGATTATACCCATAGAACTACGCGGATCTTTACTCTCTGTCGACGACACCATCAGGCCGGGTGTGACTTTGGAGGGACTAGCAGCGCTCAAGCCTGCATTCCCCAAGTGGGGAGAATCAAGCACGACCGCAGGCAATGCCAGCGGGGTCGGTGACGGTGCTGGCCTCTGTATCTTGACGACTCGTGCAAGAGCTGAAGCAGAAGGCATGGAGGTATTGGGCAAATACGTCACCTCGGCGGTTGTTGGTATGTCTTCACAAGCCAGAAATGAGATTAACATCGAACAAATATGTATTATAGGTGTTGAGCCCAAATACATGGGCATTGCGCCTATATACGCTATACCGAAAGCTCTTGAACAGGCGGGATTGTCCAAGGAAGATATCGACGTTTACGAGGTAAGTTAGATGGTCGCCTTTGTCTTGAAGCAATGTATCCAAATTTCTGGCTCTGTAGATGAATGAAGCATTCGCTTCTCAATTCGCATATTGCGTGGAACAACTAAATATACCTATCGAGAAGATAAATCCCAAGTAAGCATGGCAGATTGATTGTATAATTACAAGCCGTTGACAGTAGACACAGTGGAGGCGCCATTGCTATCTCTCATCCTCTCGCAATGAGTAAGTTTGCTCTGCTTTTCTTGCCAGTTCAAAAGATTGACGCTGGGTATGAAGCTGGTGTGAGGCAAGTTGTTACAGGTCTTGCCCAACTGAGAAGAACAGACGGCAAGTTACTGTGCACCAGTATGTGCGTCGGCAGTGGGATGGGAGCTGCTGGCATCTTTGTAAATGAAGCAACTCGATAGTTCGAGGCTCCGAGGCACTTGCTTAGATCTCATTGTTGAATATAGCCTGAACCAGAGTCACCTATTCTGAGCGTCCCCATTCATCGAAAAAAGATAATTAAATGCAGTTTGACATTGGATATACGAATCGCAAAATAGTATCATTCCCATGCAGAAGGTGGAAGAATAAATGTTCAAGAAAACGAGATGGCCTGCAGAAAAGGTTGTCAATATTCAGAAACTGTAGAGGCGCAACAATAAAGTACAGAATAATCCTCAGAAAGTCATCTATGTCATTGAACCGTCATACGAATACGACGGAACAGATCGACTAAGAGGTGCCATATGGTTGAATAAATTACAACACTCGTCACGGAAATGGAATGAAAATCGAAAGCAGTGGGCAATACTGACCTGATACGAGCCTTAATCCTAACCCTTTTAATCCACGCGTCTTCGACAGGGAAAAAATAGCGGGAACGTAGAGCAGAAAGGAGCTTTTCATGGCTTACTTATAGAGGTGCAGTGGTCACGTGCACGGCAATCAGCGAATGAAACTGTGTAGCTATCAAGCCACCCGATCTTATTGGCCCCCGTACTATCGGCAACGTACTCGACACTATCGCCAGCAAGCCTAAGGTATGAAATTTTGTCCGTTTGTCGCCCAAGACAACCATTAACTTCGAATTGTGGTACTTTTAGGCACTCAAGAAAAAATGTCGGCTCAAATCAGCAAAAAGAGAAAGTTCGTGGCCGACGGTGTCTTCCGCGCCGAGCTCAACGAGTTCTTCACCCGCGAGTTGGCTGAGGAAGGTTACTCGGGATGCGATGTCCGTGTGACCCACGCCCGCACTGAGGTGCATTTTATCTGAATTATTTGGAATTTTGGGAATCTCTTGTTAAATAAAAGAGTTCTCTTTAGATCATCATTCGTGCCACCCACACCCAGGAGGTCCTTGGAGAGAAGGGTCGCCGCATTCGTGAACTTACCGCTCTCGTCCAGAAGCGCTTCAAGTTCCCCGAAAACTCCCTTGAGCTCTACGCCGAGAAGGTTCAATACCGTGGACTTTCTGCCATTGCTCAGTGCGAGAGCTTGAGGTACAAGCTCCTCGGTGGTCTTGCTGTTCGTCGGTGTGTGATATCTATTCAAAAGACGTTGGAGCGGGATATTGAATTTGAATGTCAAGTGCTTGCTATGGTGTCCTCCGTTTCGTCATGGAGTCTGGCGCCAAGGGTTGCGAGGTTGTTGTTTCTGGAAAGATTCGTGCTGCCCGTGCCAAGTCCATGAAGTTCACCGACGGCTTCATGATCCACTCCGGTCAACCCGCTCGCGACTTTGTCGACTATGCTGTCCGTCACGTTCTGCTGCGCCAGGGAGTCCTCGGAATCAAAGTCAAAATGTGCGTCATAATGTATAATTTGTTTTCCGTTTTGACTTAATTACACCTTCTAGCATGAAAGGATGGGATCCCGAAGGTCAGCTCGGCCCCCGCAAACCCCTCCCCGATTCCGTCCAAATCCTCGAACCCCCCGTCGATAAAGTTGTCTCCGAGCCCTCATCAGAGCAGCGCGAGCCTGCCATCCCAGTGGCTGCCCCTGCTCCTGCTGCTGAGGAGTACGTTGCTGATGCTTACCAACAACCGGAGGCATTCGCTGAGCAACCTGTATTCTGATCTGTTCTTTTGATGTTTTCTCCTTTTACGGTCTTACAATGCA